AAAAAAGATTTAATTATAAAAAGTATTTACATTTAATTGTGGAAAGATATAACGGATCTGTTCATCATGGATTACTTTCTGACAGTCTTTCACAATATGATGTCTATTTAGGTGAAAAAAAAAAATTATATCGAAAGATTATCTAATATTTTAAACAAAAAAGGGATAAAAATTGAAATATATTAAAGAACAATGGTAAAGTGCGAATTTCAAGAATTAAAAATAGTATTTTTGAAAAGGACAGTTTAAGACAGTGGGTTAATGAGATTTTTATATAAATAAAGTTTTGTTGATGGATCCTCTTACTAATAAGCTTTGTGAGAACAACGGTGAAGAAATTCAAGGGAAATTTTATTGTGAAGAATTAAAAAAGGTTTAAAAATGAAAAATATTACATTAATTAGTAATGTTAATAAAAATGGTGAAAAAACAATATTAATCATTTTACTACAACATTACCTGGTTAAATTGATGCATTAAATAATGGTAAATACATAACTGTGTTTTTTAAATGTTTTTTTTTTATCCAAAAACAGCAAAAAATGTTAATGAAAAATGCTGGTATGATTTAGAATTAAAATTTTCAAAATACTTTATTCAAACGGATGTTACTATTAAAAATATTGATAAAAGTTTATATCAAATTATGAAGTTTAATTTACCAAGAATTAAAATACCGTGGGGAATATATAACAATAAAAAGTTATATCGCTTGTAAATGATTATTTAAATGATTTTAATTTTTTTTAAGAATAAAAATTTTTAAAAATACTATAATTTTAACAAATGAATATACTTGTCACTATGTTCAGGGGCAAGAATCTTATTCTAATCAGGGTAAAAAATATTTTAAAATAGAATATTTAGACAAAACCCACAATGAACAAAATAAAATATGTTGATCATGTTACACGAAATAATACAATAGAATTTAGAGTAACTTTTTCAAAAAAATTAAGTTTTATGTTGGATTAGACAAAGAAGAAATAAAACAGATATTTGGTTCTGGATTTGATTTGAGGAAACATGAATTTTTAAAAGAAATTAATTTATTTCATTGTCCATATCTTCCTGATGAGATAGTTGGAATAATTAAAATGTTTATAAATTGTGATAAAATTAATAGTGAATTTGTTGGTGATTCAAAAAGTGAATTGTTATGTATTGTTCCTTTACATTATGCAAGTGAAAGTGGAGACAATTTAGTTGTGTACAATCCTCCAGTTATAAAAAAAACATTTAATAAAGACTTAACTATAAAAGTATTGGATCATCAAGGTAATTATTTCCATTTGATTCAGGAAATATATTGTTGGAATGTCAAATTGATTAAGAAATGGAAATTAAATTACGACCTATTAAAATACCGCAATATAACGATATTTATCTCGAAATTTTTTTATTAAAGTGAAGGATATATTATATCCATTTAATTTAACAGGAATTAATAAAAATAATAATATTTTATATTGAATAAAGAGTTTAAAACCAAAAAACTTCAAAAAAGGAGGTATTAACTTATATATTTATTCTGCAATTCTATATAATTTTACTCATTTTATAGTTGGAAATGTACAAAAAATCCCAGAACTTGGTGAAGTAACTAATGTGCAAAATTGTTTACCAAACATAAGAAATTCCGGTAGCGAACCAAATAATATTTCATTTTTTTTATTTTTACATAAAAATTTTTTTTTATTTAAATGGTGGATTATCTAAATTTGATGCTAGTGCTAATTTTAATTTACAATCAATGCAATTAATGGAATAAGAAAAAGCTCCTTTGATTCTATTTTCAAATTATATATTATTTGAATTAAAGTATGATGATTCAGATAATAACTATATCACTAACGAAGAACTAGATATACTTCTGGACTTAAAATTTGAAGAAAATAATGAATTTAATGAAGAAAGTAAAAATAATAAAAGAGAATAGACAATGATTTATTAAATTTGTTGCAGAAATAAATTTAATTTCTTGTAAATAATATATTATATAGATATATATAAGTTATTAAAAAAATTTATGATTTCATTTATATTTTTTGTTGGTTGTGAAGTTCTCACTGATGAAATAATAAATTATGGCAAGTGTTAATGAAAATGTTATTGATAAGAATTACCATGTTGTAAGTAATAATTTGAATATGTTTCAAGCAGTTCTTTGAAATTTCACATTTTTAGAATTTAGACCTAATGATTTAAATCCCGAACCTGATGAAGCTTATGCAAAAAAAATTCGAATTCTAAATGTCAAAATCTGAATATGGCTTAATGAGAACTGATGACTTCGATATGAGTGGTAGAATAAAATTAATGGCCGGTTCCACTTTATATAATGATTCAAACATATGCATTTATCCAAGACCTTTAACTAGCATGTGGTGTAAATTTATACATTAATGATACTTTAGTAAATAATATTACTAATCGATATGATAGGATTTCATTTTTCAAAAGTATTTTATACACAACATATAATTCATGTGACAATTTAGTCAATGTGAACTTAGACATATTGGATGGAGCTGGAAAAATGGATGTTGTAGATAAAATTGCTGCAAATATGACTGCGAATGAGGAAGGTGATAAAAATGGAAAAAATGCACAAGTTATGCTTATAAATAATAAAAGTTGCAAAATTATAGATCAGCTTGATATGACTTTAATAAATGGTTATGGTAAAACAAGTTGGATTACGTCAGCTAGTAATTTGAAATTTAAATTTGCAAGAACAGAAAAACAAAATTATTTGATGGGTTTAGCTGCTGATAATCCTCAAAACTACCATATCCATCTTAGTGATTTAAGATTAAAGCTGGAATGTTAAACCAAATGATCAATTGAGTAAAGCAATAAATAATAAACTGATACAAGAAAATAAAGAGTGTCCTTATTTTGTAAACAATATGAGAGTTGTTACAAAAACTCCTACTGGATCCAAAGCAATTAACTGTTATGATGTATTCACAGGGGTCTACCATCAAGAATTTTTATAGATTTTCAAGATACAGCAAGATTTAACAGTTCATATCAAAATAATTGTAATTTATATAAATTATTAAATTTCAATATTTGTTGTGCAAGTACTAATCGTGCTGTAACACATGAGTATTATGGACGAAAAGAAGCATATTGCAGTTTAAAGAAAATTTTAAACAAAAAACTATTAAAAAATGAATTTTGATTATCCCTGATTTGAGACTGAATGTAGAATAATTGCATTTGATTTATCTCCTAATCAAGATCATTTTACCGAAGTTTTATCAACTCAAAATACAAGTTATTTTGGATTTGATATTAATTTAAAAACAGCAATAACTGCTTCACACATGGTTATATTTTCTGGAGAATTTAGAAATCAAATGAGTTATGGATATAAAATACCTATATATTTTGAATATCGATTTTAATTTTTTCATTATTGCTGTGTATTCAACATGATAAGAACAAAAAATTGTATATATTAAAAAGAAATAAAAATAAATTTAAAAGAAAAAATAGAAAAGTAATTGATATTGGTTTTCCTAAAAAAATTATACACATTGTTCCAGTAATAAATCCTATAAATCTATAATGGATGATACATAAAATAAAGAAAATGTAAATGAAGAGGGAAAATATGATATGGAAAATGAAGATAATATTAAAGAAGATATAGAAGAAATTGATAAAGATAAAAAAAATTTAAAGGTCACCTGAAATGCAAAATTCATATTTCTGTTTATTTGACATATAAAATGTATATATTGCGTAGACTATTCAAAGAAAATTTGAAAACAATCCCATGATTATTTTAAGAGATATCAACGTGTGAATTTGTGTTTTTTTTGAATAGAAGTAAAAAATATTCCGTCGGTTTATCGTCGGAAAGTACTCGGCGTGACGTAATAGTTGCCATTGACATTTCGCGCTAGAAAGCGGCAAATATGAATTCATAAATAAAGTTTGATTTTGATCGGCTATTTTAAGATGGTTTACTGTGTGGCATTTAACTGCAAAAACGGTTCTTCTAAGAACCAATCTAAGGCGGAAAAAGTTGGGTTTTTCAGTTTCCCCGCTAAAAATCCTTTACGCCAAGCATGGGTCGATAAGGTGAAAAGGAAAGATTGGAATCCTTCGAAAAGGTCAAAGCTCTGTTCGGCACACTTTGAAGCCTGCTGTTTTGTCCAAAACCCCATTGGAGACGCAATACCAACGATCTTCGACTATTCGAGGTCGAAAGTTGGTGATAAACGGAAACCGGAGGCAACTAGAAACGCGTATGCAAAGCGCAGAAAATTAGAGGTAAAGTCTTGTAGCCAAGCAGTTTTTAATGTAATTATAGTGCATTACTTTAAAAAAACGCATATACAATTCAGATAATAAACGAAGCTCTTGAGAACTCCGTGGAAAACATTGAGCAGCCTGACGAGGACGAAAATACATCAAAAACATGTTCGTTTTTTTTTTTGAGTGGACAACTGGACTCAAGAGATAAATGTAACATAAGTGACAATGGAACACAAACTGACAAAGTGGTAAGGGAATGCAATGCAGTTTTGTTTTGTGCAAAAGCCTAAACTGTTGCTTGATGATGTAGAAACGCAGACATGTAAAGTGTCAATCTGATATAAAAATACCAGTCGAAGCAAAAAGCAAACGCACTCAAACGAATGCACAAGTGACGTCTCAAGGTTAATTTTTTACATGAACTCAGCGGAAAATAAACATTTTGAAAAGTGTTTCCTTAATTATGTTATTCCGTTGCACAGGGACAGAAACCGAAATTATCACGACAAATGCAAGAAGCACTCAAACGGAGGGTAGTTTATCCGTAGATGAAAACGACAATGATGATGATTTCCTATCAGATGCTGAAATAAGCACTTCGGAAAACAACAGTACCGCAGATGAATATCTTAGTTTCAGCGAATTTGAATCGTCAGATGATGAAGCATCAATTGCTGAGTAAGTTAGTCTGCATCATTTTGAAATAAGATAACCCAAAACATAAGTTCATTTCAAGTATTTTACAGAGCAAGATAACATTCATATAAAAAATAAGTAATTTTTCCATGTTATAGGGAAAATGATGTTACTCAAAAAAAATATATAGTTTTTGACAGCTGTCTAAGAAAGTTGTTCTCTCAGTGTCGACACTGTGGTGGTCACTGCAAGATATCAACCAGAAGCATTGGAAGCATGGTGAACATCATCGCTAAATGCTCATGTGGCTTTCTTAATAATTGAAATAGTCAACCTACTCATAGTCAGATGCCATTGGGTAATCTCTTGCTATCTGCCAGTATTTTATTTAGTGGTAACAGCCCATCCAAAATCCTGCAATATTTTCAACAAGCAAATGTACAGTTCATTACTGAAAGGTGCTACAACTATATACAAAGTGGATATCTTATTCCAAGTGTTTTGAATGTTTGGAAAAAGCACCAGACTATTATGATGACAGAGCGTCAGGGAAAGCAGGTTGTTATTGGGGGTGATGGACGATGTGATTCACCAGGCTATTGTGCAAAATATTGCTCATACAGCTGCATGGATTTAGAAAGCAATAAAATTCTAGACACACAATTAGTTTAGGTAACTAGCTCAATTCATTAGTTTATAGTATTGTATTCAAAACAATATTGTATGCAAACACATTTTAGGAAATGTGTAATATGTACTTATACAACATGAATACAATGTGTGTAACTAAATCATGTGATATACACCAACATACATGCATACTTGCAGACATACATATCCCAAACACTGTACGATTTTATTTACATTAATATATCTATTACAGTCAAATGAAGTTGCAAATTCAGGGGCAATGGAATTGGAAGGACTGAAAAGATCTTTTAAACTTATTCAGTCACACAATCTTCAAGTGAGTCATCTTATCACAGACAGGCATTGCCAAGTTAAAAAATACATGAAAACCCAACAGCCAGGAGTGAAGCACTATTTTGATGTTTGGCATGTGGCAAAAGGTAAAATTAAGGCTACCAAAAGATGCTCAAAGTACAGCAATGGGTCTTAAAATAAAGTACTTCCTGATTTGATCAAAGAGTATCTTTATAATCATAAATTACCAAGTGATTAAGAGGTTTTAGAATTTTTCTAATTGCATTTAATTTCATGATATTTTGATCAATTATTGCTATGTTTTGCATTACAATTTTTTTAACCAATGTACAGTGTCTATTTTTTTCTACAAGTATCAAAAAAAAAAGGTAATGGCAGCCGGTAAGAAGAGTGGATGTAGATTGCTACTTGATTGGGCACAGTCAATATCTAACCATGTCTACTGGTGTGCTGCAAGTAGTGGTGGTGATGAGAAACTACTTAAGGCTAAATGGCTATCATTGCTGAATCACATTTGCAACATTCATGATGGTCATAGCGAATTATTTCCAAAATGTGAGCATGGTACTCTTGAGCCTCGCTTATGGATAAAGAAAGGTACAAATTAATCCTAAATGCTCTGGTATAAGACATAATAGTTATTTACAGTAATTGATACTTTCTTTATCAACAAACTTCAATTGCCAGCCAATGCCACAATGTGGTATTTGTCAACATATGACAAATGGGCACCATAAAATTTTCTATCTTTTTTCCAAGGATCTAGAGCATTTACTGAATTGGCATCGATAGTTGAAAGCAGGTATCTCATGAAAGATATTGGGAAGCTCAGCCATGAGAAACAAACATCAGCTCTTGAAGGTTTTCATCGAGTTGTTATACTATATGCACCAAAGCATACACATTTCTTTTACAAGGCAATGCAAGCTAGGTAAACAAACAATAAACAATGTTGTTTTCATACTGAAAATGATTGCAAGGTGGCACACTAAAAGTAAAATTAAATTTTTAGATTACTGATTGCTGCTCTCCATTTCAATGAAAATGGAAGTAAAGAACAAAGGCGTACAAAGAAAATGGGGAATTAATGTGGAAAGTGTCTCACCCCAAATCAAGACAGTCATGTGGAGTCATCAAAGGTGTTAAAATTGATAGTACTTATGGTAAGGACAAGTTTTAGCACTCAAAAGCCAAATAATTGTTCTACTGATGGTACATTTCTTGCACTTCTCAGTTTAATTCTTCTCCCCCTGTTTTACAGACTATGTGAAACAACTAATGGAGGAAGTGATAAGGTGCAGACATGCTAATTCCAGTTTAAACCAAGCAATTGCAACAGAAAGACAACAAAAAATACCAGATCCACTGACTAGTAGAGTTGAAAAAGTTGATAAAGTAACAGCAGTGCAACAACATACTTCACGATTCAATCTTAACTAAACTGAAGTCTAACACTCACAGGTATTTATAAATGCTGTGCATATTCAAAGCCTTTATATATGCCAGAAGGTGAAGGAAATGCTTTCCTTATTTCTTTAACAGCACAGGATGGTATAGGAAGTCGATATTTCTTGCCAAGCTTTCCATGTATCCATGCTGTCCATTGCCTATAGGCAGTGTAACGCAAAGTTCTGGGAAACAAAACAAAATCAAACATAAGCAAATTATTGTCGATATATGAGGAGATATCAAAAAAGCTGAAACTGACTCGGTTTCTGGAGCGTCTGGTATTGCCCCGTGATCGTGAACGAATACAACCATAGCTGTTCTCACGACTGTTTCGTTGATGCAGACCATGTGAAACTCTTGTTCTTCTGTGATGCATAAATGGTCACCATGAATTTTAGGGTCTGTCTTCGGTTCCTCATGGCAACAAATGCTTTCCCGGCCTGTTGTCATCGCCACACAGTGTCCACACTCACACCTGCCATTAAAATAAAGAAAAGAATTTTATGACGCGATCTGAAATGTTAATCATGAAAAAAAGCAACGCACCAGTTTGTATTTCCAATCCTGTGAGTATATTCGTCAGATGAGCTGTCCGTTGACGACGACGAAGACAGATCTTCGTCAGTTTCAACATTATTGCTACTAGCTAGCGGTTCAAACATGTAAGGCTGGACCTCCGTAGCAATATATTCGATGTCAAATTCGACTTCTTCCTCCGTTGAAGACATCGAGATAAACACGCATTAATAGTAGCAGCAACAACAAAAAGAAAATTGGCAAAATTTAATTTTTACTGCTACTGGCTGCACTGAGCAAAAACATGCAATGGCAACTATTACGTCAAACTCGCCCCAGCTTGGGTAATTCAAATTCGCTCGCGCTATTTGAATTCGGCCTTCGGAAATCGTCAATGTCATGAATTCAGAAGACCATATCTCATAAAATATAAAACATTGGACTTTCAAATTTAGCGAATAGGCTAATCATTAGTTAAGCTTTCATATGAAGCAAAGTTATATCAAGCATTTCAGGTGACCTTTAAGTAAAGACAAAAATAATGGTGAATATTGTGATTTTCAAAATAATTTTGACGAGTTAATTGATGAAGAAAAATTTGATACTGATGATGATAATTAGAGTGAAGAAATAAATTAGAAAATTAAATGAGACTTACCTGAAGTCGAAGTTTCATTGAAATTCTTTGAGTTACTGTTCAGGAACTAGGAAGTCATCTGAGATAGAGCACACGATATCAAGATCAGTTGTATTTGACATCATTTGAAAAGAAGTAAGTTAGTAGTTTGGTGGGTGACTTCCTAGTTCCTGATCAGTAACTCATAGAATTTCAATCAAACTTCAACTTCAGGTAAGTCTCGTTTAATTTTCTAATTGTATTTCGTCACTGTTCTACATCACTAGGAAGTCATGTGAGATTTTAAAGCAATGTGGAAATGAGCAATAACTAATAACAAAATAATATAATTGAAATTTCACATTTCATGTCTCACAAATGGCAGAAAGTAGATCATTGCCAAAGTTCTTCGCCTCAATTGGTTTATTATAAAATGTTTGAAAAGTTTGTTCATTACGCCATGTAGCTGCATTCATAATAGTGTTTATAGAAATATTCAATGCGTTTGCTGCAAAAGTTGATGCATTTCTAGTACTGTGTGCACTGTAAACCTCAGTATTTATACCAGCATCCTTTAACACATATTTTAACCATCGGGAAATGGTCGCTGAAGTGACCGAATGATAAGGTTTTTGATAGCTCAATAGGAGTTGTCTTGCACCATTTCGTATGGGTGCAGTGGCATTTAGATAATGGGACAAGTAATTGATACACATAATCCAGGCTCTGGTGGATATGCCCGAAATTCTAAAGGAGCAGCATGCGTACCAGGTTTACATGTTTTGAGCAGTTGGTGCACATGAAATCTATTCGATCTTGTTTCTTCTCCATATGAGATATATCCAATGCATGAAGTGTTTGGCATCGCTGACCAGATAATAAAGCTAAAAGCATTACTGTTTTTAGCGTTAATGATTTCAAACTGAGATTTTTTGGAGGGTGGAGATTTCGTAAATATTTGAATACCAGACCATGGCATATCTGCGAAGAGCTGGTCTTGCAACAAATACATAACAAAGCTATAACAAAGCTAAGAACGAGTGGATATGCACCAAACGAGATGCCACTTTGTAGCATTATGATAGTAGATAAGGTGCTCCTTGCAGTATTAATACCACGGTAGGATAAACCTTCCTGGTATAATTTTGTAAGAAAATTAATGCCCTCTTCTACAGAGGACGCGACAGGATCGTTATTGTTTGCATTGCAATATTGTCGGTTATCGTTAAAATGTAACCGTTAAGGTATGTAGAACATTGTTCTTGGTACCGGTCCGCCAAGACTGCTGGATGATTTGAGAAGCTTCTCGTGAAACGCCTCAATCATAGAGAAGTTCCCCGATAAATGACAAAGTAGTAGCTCCAGTTTTGTATGGAGAGGGTGGATTGATCCGGAGAGCTGGAAGAGTTAAGGTCATTCTTCCTCTAGGTAAAACAACAGGGTGTGCTATTACCATCTGCATTAAAGCTGGCCATCAACTTTGTGTTGGCCAGTTAAAGACTAAAACTGGTCCTGTGCGTTTATCTTGTACTATTTTTTGTAACACTTGCGAAATTATGCTAAAAGTCGGGAATGCATAAAATGTATAATTGCCCACGATATCGTAAAGGCGTTGACAGCTATAGCATACAGGTCAGGTTGGCATGAAACATAGGGTTTCACATGATTATTCAACCTTGATGCAAACAAAATAATGTTCGCAGTTACATCTAGTTTTTGAATGGCACACCTAAACAGAGTCTTGTTCAACTGCTATTCTGTTTCTCTGCATGATATTCTAGATTCTCGATCCGCAGTGACATTTTGTAATCCTGGAATGTGTGCTGCTGTCAACCAAATATCATACAAAATGCAGCAGTTCCAGACATTGCATGTCAACTTGTGAATAGACCTTGAGTGGCATGTGCCCATTTGATTAATGCAAGCTACAGTGGTAGTATTATCAATTAATACTTTAACATGCTCACCTTTTAGTTCTGAAGAAAACGACTCAAGGGCAAACAATACCTCAAGAATTTCCAAATAATTTATGATTTGACGCCTCCAAGGGCGTCCAGTTACCCCCAGCACATGCACCATTTAGGGAGCAGCCCAACCCTATCAATGACGCATCTGCTGTTAGGCATATGCTAGGTTCATTGTTAGTAATTTGCCTGTAAGTCGTGCATATTGATGACTGCCACCATCGTAAATCATGTATCGCCTCTGAAGACAGGGTCATTGTCTTGTCAAAATTACCCTGGTTTAACTTAAGGGCATCGCTTTTATCCACTTCCAGCCAGCGATAATGCAACTGACTGTACATTAGGCCCAGGAGACTCGAAGTTAGAGTACCCAAAACCCGAGAAACATCCCTTATTTTTGGGTGAGAGCTCATGACACATGCATTTTATCTTCTCAGCTCGTTCTGTCATCACAGATATTTGCATAAGAACAGAGTTAAGTCGGAAACCCAAAAAAGTAATTACTTGTGAGGGATCTAAAACTGACTTGTCTGGATGTACATAATACCCCACTTTACTAAATAAGCAGATGGTATTATGAATATTCCAAACACATGAAGCATATGTGTCGGATGTCAGTCAAGTATCTTCAATAAATCCAACTGAAGTATGTCCTTTTTGATGTAAACTTGAAAAAACAGGTTTGAGAGTTTTGTAAATTTTCGTGGGCAGATGGCTAGGCCATTATGAAAACAGACAAATTTACATAGTTTCCCTCTACCAAAATTTGAGAAATTTTTGATATGCTAGGTGAATAGGTACAGAATAGTAAGCATCTTTGAGATCAATGGATGCCATGAAACAATTTGGTTTCATAAGCCTAATAGCTGACCAAACACATTCCATTTTAAAATGGTGATATCTGACATGCCTGTTTAAGGATTTCAGATTAAGAATCATGCAAAAAGAACCGTTTTTTGGGGGCAAGTGAAGATTGGACATACAAATTCCCCTGATTCAGGGTGAGAAATCTGCAAAATGCCTTTTTTGCATAATTTGCTTATTTCTAAATCAATATTGTTCATTTCAACCTCAGGTAGCTGTATTTGCTTGGGTAAAGCTCTTTGAATCGGAATTGTATCAAATTCAATTTTTTGTCCAGACACTGTCTCTAAGATTTCCTTATCAGAGGTGAGTGTTTCCCATGTACTTAAAAAATTTGATATGCTGCCAGCCTGATCGGTCTCCAAGCTTTTATTCAAATACGCTATTAGCGTGGGTACAAAAGAAGAATAATGGTTTACCTGTAAAGTCTTAAAATTTCTTAAAATTTCAGTGTTTTCTACTTGCGATCGTTCATTGTGTCCGATCTTTTCTTCCCGAATTGGTTTCTCTTTGACCAATTGGGGGTTTTGCCCTGATGATGGGATAAAAAAGGGTGCCATTGTCGTTTCCCTTGTTTGGAATGTTGCTGCCAAGTGGTGTTAGAAGAGCTTGTTGTCGCATTGCCAATCTTGTTGGATGTGCAAATGTGATTAATTTGGGTTTGAAATTCATCTCCAAACAAATATTTTGTAATGGGAACATGCGATGTGCATAAAGTACTAAATTCTCGATGGAGATTGGGAAGTATAGCGTCACTTCGTCGTTGAGACAATTGAAAACTTACATGTCCCAAGATCGCTATGATATCAGCGTTCATATGAACAAGAGATCAACAGATCATTGGTGGTTTGTGCTGCCATATGACCGACATTTGTCAGGGCTGATTGAATGGAACTCAATTGTAAATCACACCCTCTAGCTGTGCGGTCTAATATTCCCCAAATTTCGTGGTTTACCTTAGTTACAATAAGGCGATCACAGTTCTTAGGCCTAAAATTTTTAGCCTGCTTTTCTTTCAATTGCTCCTCACTCAGCTTATTTAGCCAACGTTGGTTAATAATTGATGCGAGCTTCTGGTTGACGATTGGTGAAGTTTCTCAGTTTCGTCTAGAGTCTTCCAGCAACGGGTCCACTGATTAGTTGTGCTGCTTCAGAATTGCGCTTGGTCAAAGGTTCTTCGTTTTGTGCCAACAAGACTTCACAATCTGCCTCATGCCCTGATCCAGGGATTAAAGCACTTGCTTTCCTCTTATGAGTAGATTCTACTGTAGAGGATACTGACGTTTGCTTCATTAACCAGAGTCATTCACTCATTGCTTCACTCATCCTACAAATGGCAGTTGCCGCTTTCAAATTCTTTAATGTGACTTGCACTTCTTCTATTTCTTCCATCATGTCATCTTGTTCATCGTGTTCAGCAAAACACAGGAGTGCTGCTTCATCTCCGACATCATCCCTTGTCTTATACTCTTCACTTGTAGAAGCCATAATTCAAAAAATTTGTAATATAGTATGGAAAGGAACCTTTTGTAACTGATCACTGTGAAATCTACGCTCGAAGTGATCTTGATAACGCGCGCTCTATCTCACATGACTTCCTAGTGACATAGAACAGTGATGAAATAGAATCCATATCATTAAAAAATGTTAATTAGAAGTTTAAAACAAAAACATAGTGACAATATAAAACATTTATTATGTGAAGATGTTCCAACAGGATATTTATTAGAAGATACTTATAACATAATTATTAGTAATGGTAAACGATAGTGTTGAGAAATTTGGTCTTGTTGACACAAGTCAAATAAATAAATTATTAGCAGAATATAAGAGAAGACGTAACGAAAATGATTTGATTAATGGAATAACTAATAATACAAAAAGATATGAAGTAATAAAAGCATACAATATATTGAAAAAGAAAGAAAAAATTAAAAAAACGGGTATTTAATTAATTTTTTTTATTAAAGAGATGATTTAAGAAGGGCTGAAAATGAGGAAGTTGTAGATACAAATGAT